ATACTAAGGTTTAAAATTAATTTTCAAATTAAGCAATTAATAATTAATTAATTTTAAACAATTAATGATTTACCAATTATAATTTAATTTAAATCATTAGGGATTTAAATAATTATTTTCAATTAAACAATTTAATAAAATAATTAAAATTTAAATTATTATGGATTAAATAGTTATCTTCAATTAATAATTAATAAAATAATTCAAATTTAATTATAATCCTTTAACCCTTCTAATTTTCGAAAAAAGGGTAAGGGTTACCAAGTTTTAATTATCCAAATTTTAAGGCATTAAAAATTGTAATTAAGGAAACTAGAAACCCTAAGGGATCCTCCCAAATTTTCGAAAATAAGGATGGAGGCTTCAAGAATCCCAACCATTATCTAAATTTAAGCCTTTAGGGTTTAATTTCCATAAACCCTAATTTTGATCAATTCATTTATAGGCTCATTAAAATAGAAAAATTAGGCTCTGATACCGCTGATAAGTTTTCTAGGTTATAAAAAATTCATGTGGCGGAAAAACTCTTAAACCCTTAAGTTCACATGCAACCTAGAAAAAATGTATGTTTTCTATATTGATAACAACTAACCATGAATATCAAGAAACCCAAGGAAATCCTAGTATAATCAAAATTACAAGAAGGCTTAGGGTTACATACCTTTTGATTAATGTAACAATTAATCAACCAAAACCTTCTTTGACTTCCTTGGAAAGCAAGCACCAGAAGCTTGAAGGCCTCTAATGTATTGTATCTAAAACCCTAATAACTAAAAGACTTGAGGAGAGAGGAGGCTTGAAGCAAATTTTGGCTCTATGAAGCTTATGAAGAGTGAACGAAAGTATGAGACCCTAGGGGTCCTATTTATAGTTGATAAGGAAGCCTTGGATAACCCTAATTTGAATATATTAATATTATTTCAAATATGACAATTATCCAACTACTTAATTATCAATAAGAAACATTCTAGAAACCCTAAAACCATGACCAAAACCGGCCATGCTAGGAGACTATTAAACTATTACAACTTAGTCTCCGCACTTCCAGTTACTTCTAATTAACCAGAAATTAATTCCAATTAATTTCTGTTAATTGTTAATTAATTATAACTATTTCAAATTAATATATTAATCATATAATATATTAATAAATCATTTGTTACAATTTATTAATCATATAATAAAATTAACAAAACAACATCTTTCTCCAAAAGTCATTCTATTTAGTTATTGGTTATGAGGGCAGCCCAAAAAGGACTTTACTTCTAATTCAAGAATATACCAATTTATTTATTAGCTTAGATACCTTAATTCAACAGGTCTAAGCTTGGGTCTTGAGCTGAATATTAAGAAAAATGAGATTTTGTTGGGCTGCATGTAATGGTAGGAAGCTTCGTGTCGATTTATTCCCAACAGATATAGGGAGCCCGTCTGGAGGTGAAACTCATTTTTTAGGGGGGGTGGGGGTGGGTGGGGGGAAGAGGGGATAGTAGAGATGCGGGGTTTATTAGTGAGTTTGTCATGAAGAGAGTTGTCAATGTTGTTGATTTGATGAGTCTTCTTCCATAACTATGTGACCCGCAAAGTGAGCTCCTTTTGCTTCAATAATGTATGGGCATTGCAAAACTTTTCTTTGGTTTAAGGATATGTCAACCTGTGCATATGGAGGAGGCAACGTCGTTCTTTGACAAAAGGATTGTGCAAGTCTATCGAGGATATGGTGGTTTGTGGAGGCCCCTTCTTTGGAGACATCCAGTGGCGTCTGGCTTCTTTACATATTCATTTTGGTGGTTTGGGCTTGTACTTAGCATATGAGGTCTCCTCCTACACATTTGTAGACTCGAGGGCCTCTTGAACTTTACAAGACCATATCTTACGTAACAATCACATATGTGGTATGGACTCTGATTACATTTGTGTTTTAACTCGTCTTCGTGATACGATTTCGAGATTCGACTGTAGCGGTTTCACTAATAAGGACCCCCTCACCCTAAATCCCAAAAACCATTGACATGTGCCATTTTTAGCAAAATTGTCAAAGATATGGACGTCGACTTGGACATGACTGTTAGATAGAAAACAACTTTTGAGTGTCTCTGAGCGCCTCATGCTCAAGATTTTCTGCTAACTATCCTTATTGATGGCCTCGGCCAAAATATGTCTCCTGTGGAATATCGTACTATCCTTCGATACCGCATTATGATTCCTCTATTCCCGATTGACGAGATATGCACAGTTTGCCGCAAGGCATGTCTGGACACCTTTGAGGAACATGCGGTTCATTGTAGAGAGTTCTCTGGCTTCAAATACCGACATGATGTGGTTACAGATGTTCTCTTTGATTTCTGTCGATGTGCTGGTATTTCCGTGAAAAAAGAAACACATGTGAACTTTTTGACGGGCCCCATGGATGGAAGATCCACACTCAGACCGGGTGACATTTTGGTCTTTGAATAGACAGGAGGGAAGCACGCTTGTGTGGATCTTACTGGGGTCTCCCTCTTGTTGGTTTGAGGAGCAGGGGTTTCACAGCGGGATATGCTGCTTTGAAAGCCACCGCATGCAAAGTGACAAAGCACGAGAATGCATGTATTGAAAATCAACATGTGTTTATGCCTTTTGCATTTGATATCTTTGGTTTTCTCCTAGATCCACATATGTTGTTTTCAAAAGAATTAGTTTTATTATCCAGAAAGGACTAGTGACGCAACTTGTTGTCCGTTTGTCTTCTGTCGATATGTATTCACTTTATATCCATGTTCATGGATATATTTTCTAAACGCAGAACCAAAACATATTATTACGAACACCATACTATCCAAACTACATAACCACTCGTGTAATTTACTCATGTTATTATTTATCTGATTGGTAATTTGTTATAACATAGGAGTAATTTAAACAGCTCTTCTGAATATAAAAGGAGTATTGCTATAAAATAACACATTTAACAAAATCTATGTATATTCAGATTTTTATAAAGTATAACAAAAAACTTAAAAAAAAAAGTCAGATCAGTTCTCATTAAAAGGCAAAGCAACAACTTGATGTGGTTTCACCATAAAGTAGGGATGAGCATATGGACCGGGGAACCGGCCGGAACCGGTACCAGAACCGGAACCGGCACCGGAACCGGAACCCGATGGAACCGGTCGGGCCGGGACCGGGACGTTATTTTTGTGGATTTTTGGAACCGGGAACCGGTAGGAACCGGAACCGATATAACCGGAACCGGTAGAACCGGCAAAAACCGGAACCGTATGATGCTATTTTTCAAGGACCGGTTCCAACATTTGAAGACACGACAAGAACCGATAGGAACCGGAACCGGTATAACCGCCGGGCCGGTTCGGTTCTTGATTTTGGCCGAAGCCGGTTCCCGGTTCCGGCCGGTTCAGTCCTTTTGCTCATCCCTACCATAAAGTAATTGGAATTTAAGGTCATCGAACATCATTATTAATTAGTTTAAGATTTAAGATAAGTTTGCAGAATAAAATATTCCTAAAATCATGGAATTATATTATTCTTAAATTGAAACGTATCATAGTGATATGCCACTAAATATTATTTATTATTTATAATATAATATAGTTTAGAAATTGGAAAATAGACTCGGTCTTCTCTTATCATCCAATTGAAAGCACATGTTTTTGTTAAAAATATCATATTCATTGTCACATATTTTCTCCAACATATTTTTTTAATTTCAACCACAACATCATTATGTCTTCCACATTGGTCCCACGATAACGTCTTTACAATTTATTGTATTTCAATATATTTTTTAACGTTTCTATTTCTTCTTTTTGTTCATTGTTATTTATTTATTTATTTATTTATTTTTATTTTTTATATAAAAGAAAATAAATCAACTATATCTATTAGCATCTAATTTAATAATATTATATCTATCTTAAGTCAAATAAAAAACTTGCATCAAGAGAGTTTATTAAGGAAGATTCTTTTGTCTAGGTTTTTCCTTATATTGGTAATATAAAGAATAAGGCATTATAAGAAACTTAAATTGTCCTTAAAGATACACTGAATTACATTTTGAATTACCCATTAAAATGATCATATTTGAAAGCTTACTACATCAGTATAACCATATATCTATTATCTAACGTCCGTTTATCACAAAATAACTACTTACTCCATAAAAAATGTCTATCACAAAACGGCTACTTACTCCACAAAAAATATTAGTAAATTCATAAAATTTAATTTTTTGACAAACAAAACTCTTTATGACAGAAAATATGACAGATTTAGGCCACAGATCCTCAAAAATCCTCGAAACTTGTGATTTTTTTAATAATTTCTTCAGATTTTTTTGCAAGCTTGCAAAAAAACTCAAAATTTGCCATGATAAATATATCTTACAAATTTAAATAAAATAAAGCATAGTAAATACTAAATACTAAGATTTGTATAATATCTAAGGCTTAGGTCTTGAATTCAATTTTTATCAATGAACCTTTTTACACATGTATCATCTATGATAAATTTGAACTCACAACTTGATCAATAGAACCGTACATCTAAATATCTAATTATCTCTACACCTTATTTTGTTCACATGCTTAAAATATAACTTATTTTAGTCAATTTTAAGATTTTTTTTTTAACTTATGAAATATATATCATCTCATAAAAATATATAAAAACTCGCAAGCTTCGAGTATTTTCAAGAATGCACAACCCAAGTTCATGATTTTTTGTTAACAAAGTTTTTTCTTTCCAGAAATATGAATTCGTAGATTTTTATTGCAAAATATTATCATCGACGTTGAAAATATTATTATCTTATACATATACATTATAATTATTATCTTATTTAAAATTAATATTTAATTAATAGTCCCTTCGCGAAATGACACGCAAGAAATTATCCAAATATTTAATAATTTAATAAACATAATATTCGTTTATAAAAAAAATACTATAATAATTTAATTGAAGATTGCATAGACCAAATAATTGGGGGATGGAAATAGCTTGGCGTTACTCGACTCCTTTCTTTTCAAATATAATTTCACGTCAATAACAAAATTGGCAGCCGTTGTCTTTTCAAGACTACAACTACCTCCTCCTCCTTCTTCTCCGACCTCCGCCATGGACATCGCCGGCGATGAGCCTACAACACCCATCTCCACCCTCCGACGACGTAACTCCATCGCAACACCATCCGATATAAAGCTCCACACTAATGACGACTACTCTTCTTCCACCACCACTACCACGACGGCGTCTTCCTCATTATCTTCTTCAACAGATTTCGAGCTGGTGTCTCTCAAACCAGCTTCCTACACCTCCCTCCGCGACATCCTTCCATCAACAGCCGCCGTTGTTCAGTCACCTAAAGTCCCCTCCTCCGCCGTTCATTCCGGTTACGAGATTTCGATCCGAAACCGGCTCGTGAAACAGGCCGCCTGGGCGTACCTTCAACCCATGTCGACCTCCCCTGAATCCGGTGGATCCACCGTCTTCCACCGTCTCTGGACTCGATTCTCTGACGCTTTCCTCCATCTCTTTACTCAAATCTGCGATTGCATGCTCCGGTGTACTCCAATCACAACTACCACCAACTTCCGATTATAACAAAAAAGGTAATCAAGTCAACTGTACAACACCCAAATCGGGGATTCGTTTCGATTTCTCTCCAATTTGTAGAAACAATAAACCAATAGAATTAATAATAAGAATTAGAATACAAATTTTGTTGTTCTTGTTTCTTTACAATCTGTAGTTATGACTTATGCCTACTTTTCACGAATCAAAGTCCTCTAGATCGTCTAAATCTTAGCCAAACTGGTTCTTTATGACCCGAACTATGACTATGCGTACTCGGCGACGACGGGAAAGGCGGTTCCTCCGCGTATTGGTGGTGGCCGGTGGTTGACGCCGGAGGAGCAGTCGGTGCCCACTGCTCTGATCCGAATGAAACCGGACTTGGAGTAACCGGCGGCGGCGGCGGACGTCCGTCACCGGAACTTTGATGATTTTGCAACCCCTGCATAACGATAATTCGAGAACTTTATTCAAAATTTTCGAACAACATTAATTAGATTCAATCTTTTTTGGTGATTATTCAAACGATTAATGATACCTGAGATTGTGTTCTTGAGGATGATGGCTTTGAGATTAAATAGCCTAAGATATCAAAGAACTTTGTTTGACCTAATTCTGTGGAATTCTGCCAATAGTAAATTGCCACGTCCCATGCTCTGTCTCTAAATTGCTTTAAGCTTCTTTCTATATCGGTTTCATGTCTATATATAAACGGCCTCAACATTGTATCATATACAAACCCTGTACCCTGCAACCATGTCAGTATCAATATCAGTATCAGTATTAATATCAGTTTCGGTTTTGGACTGTTTTAATACAAAACTGGTATTAGTTTGTTTTGGATTGTTTTGTTTGTATCGAATGATATCAAAGTTTGGGAACCAAAAGAGATGAAAGAAAGTGAGATATGTTGATATGTTTACCTTGGTTTTTGGATACCATAAGTATATAATGAGTGCTAGCTTTAATTCTCCATACATTGGAACCCTAGAAAAAAAAAAAGATTCAAACTTTTTAACTCCAAAATCGTTGCATGAAAACTTTATTTGTTAAATGTGTAAATATACGTACCATGAAATGAATATATCGCCTACTCTTTCGAATACTGTGAGTATTGCAACAATTACCCTGAGTTCGAAAAAACCAAAACCGATAAATCAAACATTTGTTAAAAGAATTATGAGTTTTGGTTCATATGTAATATCATTCGTTAGTAGGCCATCTGTTAATTCTATAAAAATGACCATTTTGTATGTATCTTCTTCGACATAAAGGCTAAATAGGTTTCGGATTTTTGAAAACCATTAATCGATAAATAAGAACAAAAAAAAATCAACAAAATAGGGATGAAAAGGGGACAAAATGGACATATTAATAATGTCAATGTTAGGGACTAAAAATGTTAAGGGGCAATAAAAGAGGACAAAAAAGCAACAAAATAAATTTGGATTTAGTAGAAATAACGGAATAAAAGCTTTCAATCATATTTGTTACAAATGTGTCCAATTCTAAAATTATTACGTCCAAAAAGAGGGGTTAAATTTTCACGGGTCGTCAATGTCATTTATCTGACATGATAGTGACCAAAAAATTAGTTTTTTGTGTGCAAAAAAAGTTTCTTTTTTGATCCAAAAAGATTCTCTACACAAGCCTTTTTCCATATAAAAATGATCAAATTAACATAAAATATTAAAAGAAAAGTACAAATAAGCATATGACATGTTTGGTATGCATTTGGCTTCCTTTCTCAAAATCAATCATGTCCCAAACAATGTAATTTCCAATAATGTTTTGCAAAAAAGCTACTCTTGCACATTAACTATATTTCCATTGCGATGGAGACGAAAAGCTAGATTTTAACTTATCAATAAGTTATCTCAAATTAATTTATCAAAATTGTATCTTATAAGTATAAGATAAACTACTTTTATGGTCTAACAAACGCTAATATAATAAGTTAGTTTCCATATTATACACAAACCCTTAACCGTTTTTACAAATATACCACTACCACCCTATGCTTACATAAATGGTCAAAGTCAATGGTCAAGATCAAGGTCAAAGGTTCCGATGCAATAGCCCTACAACGTGGGCGTTTTAATTCAAATGTGGATTAAACGATGTGTGGGCACTGCGAACCATTTATCAGACTGTTATATATCTGATTTATCTCTCTCATGATTTTTCAAGTACGCCATGTGTAAGTCATCTCATAATTTCGAGAAATATAATTTTTTTTTTACAAAATAATAGATAGGAACCAATTGTATTAATTGCAAGTCAATGGTTATACCTAATGTCTTATACCAAACAATTTATGAATTTATTAATGTGCTTTATACTAAAATACTAGTATTTAATAACCCCACATGGCCACATTCTTTATAAAAAAAATCCTATTTGCTAAATGAAATTGAAGAACATGAAATAAGGCACTCACCAATATTGACACCAAAATCGCAATTCTGCATTTCCTACTCCTTGCTTCTCTATCGTTTTAAAGCACTCGAAAGCTGGATACGCATATCCAAGAACCAATCTGCAATCGTAATCAAATTATCAGATCAAAAACTAGAATTATCAAGCTCCGATCACAAAAATCGTAGCCAAAAATCCCAAATTTATAGCGAATTGAGCTGGGTGATCGAAAGAAACTTACACAAGACTATTCGTAATCAACTCGCCCAACATCTTCTAACTTTCTTCCGTTTGCCGCCAATTATTTTCGCCAAATTACTGTAAAAACGGAAAAGGGGGAATTAATTTAATGGATCATCGTTGGTTTTCAGCATCCTCATCAAATCGCATGAGTAAATTCACAGCAAATACAAGTTTGATGAACCAAATTATGCGATTAAACACTGTTACTAGCATTACAAAACCCAGCAAAAACCCTATTAAATCAATAAAAAAACGAGAAAGAGGGGAATCTTAGAAAAGCAGGAGACAAATTGTTAGTACCTTAGTGGAAATAGATGTACGATGCTCGATCGATTGTTTGTAGATATTGATGGGATTGTGAAATTGATCTGGGAAACTTGAAATTGAGAGAAAAGAAGAGATTTTGATTGTGTAAATGTTCTGAAATTGGGTATATAAAGGGAGATAGCGGTTGAATTTGGAATGGGTAAAACGTAGAAGAGATATAGAAAAGAGAAGAACAGGTGTGTTTGGAAACCATGGTTACTTGCCTCCGACGCCTTTCTTCCTCTCCCTTTCGAGTTCCATTTTTTAATAGATTTTTAGTTCGTTTGGTGCTTTGAACAAAATTGCAGTCAACTAGTAAATGTATAAAAAGTTTATGCAAAGAATAGGTCATAATTTTAAACATTATTTTCTTTATTAACATATGAACTTTATTTGATAATAACATTTTATTAAATAACATTTTATTTGTTGATTAGAACTTTATTTGATAATAACATTTTATTAAATAACATTTTATTTGTTGATTAGTGGTTTGATAGGTTATACATACTATATAGTTATATAGATAAAATAGTTGTGAGACTCATGTACTACATGAGTTTATTAAAAAAAAATAAACATGAAGATTTAAAAATTTAGAAAATTTAAATTTATAAAAAAATGAATTATTAAAATTGAAGTGTTTATTTATTTTTTAAATTTAAACTAATAATTTAAATAAATAAACAATTAAAATAGTTGGATTCATTTTAGAAATTTAAAAAATTATAAGGAAAGTTGCATTAATGAATTTGATATATATTTATTATTGAATTTATTACATTTAAGTATTATATGAAATTTAATAAAATAGAAAAAAACTACAAAATGACATATGGATATAATTTAATCTAAAATTACCATAAAATGACATATGACATAAAACATAAGAAGATGATAAGTAGTAAAATTACTTTCATTTATTAGGATGATAAAAAACAAAAAATATAGGTGATAATGATAGTAATGCAAATTTCTTTCGAAAAAATTAGTAATTTTTATTGGCCGGAAAATCATAATGGTTATGGAATTTAGTTTATTTGGAAATTATAAAATATTTATAAAAATATTATATATATATATATATATATATATATACACACACTAGGTGTGAGACTCATTTATTACATGAGTTAAATAAAAAAATTAATTATCAAAATGTAAACCTTAAGTACTTTTAAAATTAAATTTTAAAATAAGAAAAGAAAAAACATATTTATTGCAATTTATGATCATATTTATTACATTTAATACTTTACTTATATATTATATGTATTATGTGGCTTTTTAATTTTAAAATTTAAGAAAACCTAAAATTGACATGTGGATACTATTAATTTCAAAAATACCACAAAATGACAAGTGTCAAAACTTATGAGAGATTGACATGTGGTAAAATAGATTTTCATTTATTAGAGAATATATATATATATATATATATATATATATATATATATATATATATATATATATATATATATATATATATATATATATATATAGGGAAATGATCAAATGAGAACACCTAAAAGGTTGAGAACGCGAGAACAAATCTGGTACATTAAATATTTAAAATCTAAGGTTGTCATTAATCATTAATTTAAACATAATATTAAATAAATTTAAATTGTTTTTTAATTAAAAAAAATATAAAAGGGTATTCAAGTAATTTTATGATGTCATCCATTTTGAATATATCAGGTAAGTTTGACAATTAAAAGAAACCGTTCCTATGTTTTAGTAATCACAGCTAACTTATTATCTTTGGGAGGATTCGATCGTATCTGCAATGCAAAATATTGTCACAGCTAAACATTTATACGACACTCGATTACTACTGTTCATCCGTAAAGAGATTTGTGCATTCAGAAGTCCGTAAAGGGTTGAGGTGGAGGAATGTCGTCGATCATCAACCGAAGTGGAAGAAGTAAGCTTTCTAATCTTTTTTGAATGTCGATTGAGTGGAAAACGGGTGTAGTAGTGGGTTTATTTTTTTGTTAATGTGTACATTTTAACGATTCTTAAAACCCTAGAATTAGGTTTTTTCGTTTTTTCTTTATATCATCGATTATGAACTGTAGTGACTCTAAATCGTTGATGATTGTTGATTTAAAGTTTGTATTTTACAAATAAAACGTTGGTGTATGTGAATGTTTAAATGAAAATGGTAATTGTAGATGAGTTTCGATGTTACGGTAGTCTGATATTGAATGTATTTAAAATTAATCGTTTATGATTGTGATTGAAAGTTTTAAGATGCAGATACATGTGTAGTCGTAGTGGACTACTTTGAACTGAAGTACGATTACGAAAACCCAAAAATTAGGGTTTTTTTTTACTTTTTTTTTTCAGAGTCGTATTGTTGAATGGCAAAGTAAGTAGATTATCAGTAGGACAAGAGGAGTAATTGATATTAGTATTCGATTTTGAATGGTGTTTAATAGCAAAATAATAAGGAAGGGTATAAATGTCTTCACTATTGATTATTTGTAAAATCTGATTGTTTGTGCTACAGAAATACTTTTCTAGTATTAATCCTTGTTGTTGGTTGTATATTATGTAGATTGTTAAAGGCATATTCGGTTGTGAATGGGTACTTTATTGAGTATATATGTGGTTTTGATCCTGTACATGATGTAGTAAGTAAAGAATAATATTGTAGGAGTCCCTATTGGTTTTTGTGACTAACTTAATTACACTGTTTGTTAAGTGATGATTATTGTAGACATTACTCTGTTCTTGGGTATGTGTTTGATTGAGTTTGTGTTTAGTAGGGATAATTTATGATTATTTTAGTTGTTAATGATTCAATTCTGAGTTATAAATGAGTAAGGTATTTTAATTCTACTATTAGGTAGAAAGAAAAGCGAGAGGATATTACTAAAGACGACATTCAGCAAATTCACTAATGAAGAATCCAATCCATTGCTTATTGATATTGAAGATGAAGACAATCAAGGAAACGAAATAGTACAACCTCAGATTAGAAGAGAAGGACAAAATAAATGTTCAACACCTAAGAAGAAAACTAAAAACAAACTGGTGGTGATGATGATTAAATGAAAATTAAAATGGGTAAATATCAATTGGAATCTATAGTGATTATGTGGCTTATTTTTTGGACAGGTGTGGAGGAACGTGTTAATCGCACACCAGATAATTCAATGCGAAGGGATCTTAAAGTTGTAGTTTTGAGCTCAGATTCAAGTAATATATTTGTTTAAAATTAAATTTATTTAGAGTTTGTTTTTGTAGTTAGTTTTAATAACTTGTATTGTTTTATATTTATTAATAGAAAAGAATATGAAACCCAAAGTCAATGTGAAGAAGTTTGCTGCAGGAAAAGCAAGGTTTTCAAATTCTAAAAACCTGATACAGAAACAAAAAGGTATCAATGATGATTTCATGTAATGTAAGTTGTATATCAAAGTGTCTTCAGTTATGATTATGTTGTCTACATATTGGCAGGTTTGATTGAAAGTCATGACATGACAGAAGATAGTGGAATACATAGGGAAAATGAATTGAGAACAAAAAGACGGTTTGATAGATGTAAAATAAAAGGTGATGAAGTTGTTGTTTTAAACTCATGTTCAGGTAATGATTTATTTTTAATTAAATTTAGTATAGTATTATTTTTGTAATTTAGTTATAATCATTTATTGTGTTAAATATGTCTTAACAGGAAAAGATTATGTTACTGTCAAGAAGCTTAAAGAAGATGAAGACTCTGATTTTGAAGATGCTAAACCTGTGCTTACAAGGAAAAAGAGAATGCATTATACTTCCTTCAAAAATGATGACAAAGAAAATGTGAAAAAATTTAAAAGACAAAAGAATAAAGAAGGAAATGTAGTGAAAGCAAGGAAACTGCCTAAAGTTATAGGAAATGATGCAGAAGAAGCAAGGCGAATACAAGTACGGACATCTCCAAATGTTTTGTACAGTTGTATGCATAACCTTAGCAAGGAACAGGAAGCGTATATTTCTTCTATTGGTCTGGGGCATTTGTTGAATATGAAAGTGGATGGGTGTGCATCAATTATGGGGCATTATACTGTAAGGAATTTTGATGCAGATAGGATGGTACTCAACCTTCATCATGGAGAGATACCAATTAATCGGCAGGTTATTCACGAAATGTTGGGTCTGCCTCTGGGAAATGTTACAATAAAGTCCATGGCTTAAAGAGAAGTCACAGACGACACGATAACTGTTTGGAAGAAACAATTCGATGATGAAGATAATATTAGACCAAGGGCAGTTCAACAAGTTATTATGCAATCAACACGTGCGGATTTACTCTTTAAAGTAAACATCTTTGTCCTGCTGTGTAATACACTAGATCAGTCGATGAGCATGGGAACATGTGACCTGTCCATGTTATCAAAAGTCACGAAAGACCTGGATCTAAGTGACATTGATTGGTGTGGATATGTTTTTGATTGCCTTAAGGAGACAAAAAGTGCATGGAATCCAAACAGCAAAAAAGGATTCTATGTTGGGCCAATTATATTACTGCTGGTAAGAGTTGTTTTAAATTCAGCTGTCATTCAATATTGGTTGACTTATGTGTGCAGATTCATTAAAGTGTATTTAATTAATACATTATTTATTTGTCTTTGTTGTAGTTGCTATACGTAGAAAGTGTTCGATGCGATTCAATGAAGATTGTACGAGGCAGATCAGCAATATGTTTTTGGAATGTTGATAAACTGCGTGAGCGAGAAAGAGTAGAGTGTAGGACAATAGGTCTGGGTATGGGTGAATTGCAAGAACCATTTCAAGTCATCAATGAAGCATCGGGAACTAGTAATGTAGGGCAAGAAAAAGTTCAGGTAATATTTTATTATATTGAATAATGCATATGAAATTTAAAATTTGTTATTTTGTATAATCCAAATTAATTATATTCATACATGTTGACAGGGAAATGATGCAGGAGGTGTTAAAATTAGTGATAGAAGGTGTAAGGTATTAATATAATATAATCATTAATAAATAATAAGGTATTAGTACAAAAACTAATATTCTATTAATTTTCGTAGGGAAATCAAGGAGAGGGAATTTTTAGTGGAAGTGGGGAAAGTGTTGAGGTAGTTTACTACTTATTCACATTTGAATTATGAGTTACTATAGTATTAATTAATACTAAAGGACATATTAATGTTTTTATTTGGTTTGTAACGTAATTATATTGTGGTGACCTTATTAGACAACTATTTCAACAATAAAGGAGATGTACGACATGCTAGTGTAGCAAAAGAAAGTGTTGGAAGACAAAATAAATGATGATGTCAAGAAATAT